TGGGGTACTAGAATTGGCAATATGTTATGATATCTCAACAACACTTTCTAATAGGTCCGAATTTTATATTACTTTCTCGAGTTGGGGTTTTCTCTATCATATTATCCCAGTCTATACCGAACAGGTTTCAAAGTAGCCAGCCAGTCCCGAAGGGCTCCGGGGTGCAAATCAGAGTGTACCACTGGAGTCTAGGTTCACACCCTCGCTTAAATAGTTGTGTTCAACTGGATCCTTAGGATAATGAGAAATGAAATAATTTGGGCAGCAAAATAGTCAGGACGGGGGTTTCCGGGAGAATTCGAGATCCGTGATAATGCTGAAGTGGCAGAAGAAATTACTTTGTAATTAAATAATAATTTTTAACATCAATGCAATTTATCTACCCTACAATTTAGGAATATATAGTAGGATACCGAGCGACATGAAATTACTTTCAATGCTTTCCCGGGCTTGGTCTAGTGGGAGGTAGTTTCAGATATTGGATCGTAATAGAGGGCACCCGCTAAAATCTAAGGATGTCTGTGGGCATCGTCGGATATCTGTGGGTATCTTCAGGCATTTGCAGGTATCTTCAGGGATTTATGAGTATCTCCAGAGATTTGCAGACATCTGCATCTATCTTCAGGTATCTACTAAGCATTGACAAAACAGCTACTAACTACACGGCACGTACCAAAAGCCCGCCGGCACCGCCAGACACCCACAATGCCTGCAGGCTTTGTAAATACCAGACCTACTAACCCCAGGTCAGCTTCACTTTGACCTAGCCTGGCCAAAGTATGTATCTATAAGCTATCTGCGGGCGGGCCTGGACACTTGCGAACACTGATTAGAGGAGGAATCCATGTCCCCAGCTAATAGCTTCATCGGCAAAGAAATCAGGCAGAGCCGAGAGGAAAAAGCTCTTGACCACATGTACTAGGAGTAAGGGGTTTATTTTGGATTCATGTAGTGAGATTTCGAATGATTTATAACGAGTGACATTTCAAGATTAGATTTGGGGTAGAAGCTTATGCACCCCAATTTCCACCATTTCCACCAGCTTTCAGCCACCGGAGAATATATCTTTCGGTACTCTTCGCCATAGATAATCCCTCTCACTGCGACAGCTATAATGGCGCGTGTGCATACTCCCGGGTTTGGGGGACAGCGGGCTTCTTGATCCCAAACCAGCCCAACCCAAGCAAGGCCAATCCCTCAGCTTAGCTAAAGAGGGAATAAAATGCTGTATGGTAGCACAGATCTATATCATGAGGAGTGACTACCTAAATGGCAGTGGTTGCCCATAGGGAAGGTGACCAGATATAAGCTGCAGCTTATTCCTGCTATGACTTACTCCAAATATTTCCCAAGCTCATTATCCGATAACGCGTGCAAAACAAACCTCTTTTCACCCGGTACTCTAGAAGTCTCGCTTTTTTCAAGCCCCTCAACCACCCTTGATTCAGTCCCCGTCAGTGACAATATAGTGGGGGAGTGGTGCGAAATCAGTTCTTGAGCACTCCAATCGATCAACTACTTATCTCAGCGTCTCCTCGGGTTGACAAAGTTCTCTATCGGGCCTGGCCTCAATCCTACCAGCTTAAGGCTCATTTCCGGACTTCAAGCTTTACGAATCTGGCCATTAGGGTCTTCCGGACCCGGGTCGCACAGGGCACGCGAATTGAACCCAAAATTGTTATTGTCATGAATCCGGACTCAGTTGGAACCCGCGGGTGAAAAAATCTGCTCACACCACGAGGGGCACAGGAGGTTGGCAGTGAGTACCAGCTGCTATCCTGATGGCTATAGGGCTATGTTGTAGGATTGGAGTGTACCAAGAGAGGAGGCTCGACACGTGTATATGTAACCTCTATCTCCGGTATTGCTGGAGACAAATCTTTCCTCCACATCCACATCCACATGCAACATGGAACATGTTAGGTGTTCTGATGTAATGCTGGTTGTGGTTGGTGCCCCGTAGCTCCTTGATCCAGCGCGTCATGAAGGTCTAGTTACTATGGTAAGCATTCAGGCGTAAGCCTGGTATGTACTATCAGTATATACGGTGGATATGAGAGAACTCTAAACCCTCTGCACTAAAAAACCTTACAACTCGCCCAACATGGGCTTGTTCTGCAAATGAGGAGCAATTTCCGAAACAAGGACGAACAACTGAGGAGGAATGAAGCTGGCCCGATAGCCAATGCAAAACCCTATTGGAATCATGCTCACAACTGAAGAAGGAGGTAATACGGGAGTGATTTTCGCATTTCCTCTGTCGGCAGTCCGTAGCGAACGGGGGAAACCAACGAGTGACTAGCTGTAGCCCAAGTGAAACGTCAAGAGCTTACTCACAACGAACGATCACACAACTCAGACAGGAAAAACTTCACACAGACTCTCTATTCTCTCTCTCACACTCTCTCGCTCAACTAACTATCCAGCACTCTCTCTCAACTAACCACCGGTAATGACAGGAGTATATATCATTCACGAGCGACAAACAATAAGCCCTATCCCCCCCCCCCCCTCCAGGTA